TTGTCAGTTTGCTGTTTCATGTGCACGAGTGGGATGTTGTTCACACTGTCAGTTTGCTGTTTCATGTGCACGGGTGGGGGGCTGTTCACACTGTCAGTTTGCTGTTTCGTGTGCACGGGTGGGGTGCTGTTCATACTGTCAGTTTGCTGTTTCATATGCATGGGTGGGGTGCCGTTCACATTGTCAGTTTGCGGTTTTACGTGCATGGGCGGGATGTTGTTCACCCGGTGGTGCTTCGGCGGTCAATCCCCGGGATAGGGTGTTGTTCGCAGTACCGTTCTACTGCTGTAAATGCTTGAGTGAATGTCGGCAAACCACTTCTTGTTGCTTCCTCTCTTGGAGAATCTACGATTCCGAAACGAACGCCTTCATTGTTGCAAGGGGGCCCGCGAAGCCGAAAACCAGCGACCTACGAAAGAGGCCAGAGGGGTAGGGGGTTGGGCGGTAGAATAGGACCGGTAGCGGACCACGGGGCAAGCAAACCACCATAGCCACGCACCTTCAACCTCCATCTCCCTCCTTCGCCTACACCCTTCCACCATAGCCATGCGCCCTTAACCTCCACCTCCCTCCTCCACCTACACCGATCCACCATAGCCATGCCCCTTCAACCTCCATCTCCCTCCTTCACCTACACCCATCCACCATAGCCATGCACCTTCAACCTCCACCTCCCTCCTTCACCTACACCCATCCACCATAGCCATGCACCTTCAACCTCCACCTCCCTCCTTCACCTACACCCATCCACCATAGTCGCGCACCTTCAACCTCCTCCTTCACCTACACACGTCCGCCATAGCCATGCTCCTTCAACCTCCCCCTCCCTCCTTCACCTACACCTGTCCGCCATGGCCATGCACCTTCAACCTCCGCCCCCCCTCCTTCACCTACATCCGTCCGCCATAGCCATACACCTTCAACCTCCGCCTCCTTCCTTCACCTACACCCGTCCGCCATAGCCATGCACCTTCAACCTCCACCCCCTTCCTTCACCTACGTCCATGCACCATAGCCATGCACCTTCAACCTCCGCATCCCTCCCTCACCTACACCCGTCCGCCATAGGCCAGCCACCAGTGAGGATAAGTCGATGATCGAGGTCGATTAGGATGTGAAACTTTCTCTCTCTCTCTCTCTCTCTCTCTCTCTCTCTCTCTCTCTCTCTCTCTCT